GTCATCTTTGTTTGTGTGACATGCGCTAAAATTTTTTTTTCTACTTGAACTTTTTTGGTGAAAGTTTTTATTGTATTGAAGTGTGCGTAATTCGGAATAAAATAAGGACTGAAAGAAGAGAAATGCAACACACATTTGGGGGTATGGCTGACTTTAGCCGTACAAGTTACTCTACTCTCTTAAAAAGAAAAGGAGTTTAACAGAATCATTTTTGGTTCTGCATGTGGTGCGAAACCCATTTATAGTTCTCTACTACAATGAGAAATCCTTAAAAGTTCTGCATGATAATCCAGAATTGTTAAAAGTTGCATGGCTAGAAATGCTGAACCCAAAAGATTCTGCCCGATACTACGGAACTATAAAAAGTTCTCTGTCAGAAATACCGAACCCAAGAGGTTCTGCAATAATAATGCCGATGCATACAATACTCTCTGTCCAAAAGTGCTGAACCGTGAAAGGTTCTCCTGAATGATGGCGAACCATAAAATGTTTTTTCGGCAAAAATGCTGAACCCAACAGATTCTGTCCAATGATGCCGAACGATAAAGTATCCTCTATGCGAAAATGTGAAACCTTGCAGGTTCTGCCTAAAAATGCGGAACCTTGAATAGTTCTGCTCAATGATTCTGAACTGTAAGAAGTTCGGCGTTTTAAAATACTAAACCTGAAGAGATTTTGGTAGTTGTCTAGAACTCTACAAGTTTTATCAAACAAATTAGGAAACTATAAAACGTTTCGGCAAAGAAAAAATTGTTGAAGAGGTGCTTATTACAGTCTTTTTGGCAAAGGCTCAGTGCAAAATGTTTTTTTAAATACAGGTGATTGCAAAAAAATCTTGCACAAGTTCTTTTACAGATATCATCTTCTATATAAGTCTCATTCGAATCATTTTATATTATGGTAGATAGCCCACGAAGAGTACTATACCATAGCGTAATTTCATATTCCCTTTGTTTCCGTTTAGAAGAAATATTAAGCAAACATCTCTTTTCCTTGGACATAGCAAAATTATTTATAATCGAAATTTTAACATTTTTGACTTTTTCATCTGGAAAATGTTGGAGTTCATCAATTGTATTTTTGATAGTTAATGACGAGTAATGTCAAATACCATAGTTCAATATTTTATTCGTTCACCTTTACAATCAATAAGTGACAAACATCGTTTTTTCATCGACATTACACAATTTCTTACAGTATCAATATCAATATTTTTAAATTTTTCTGCTAAAAAAAGTTCAAGTTCATCAATATTCGAAGGTTTTGTTTTTTCAATATTACATTTTACGATCGACCATAAATTCTCCACGGGATTAACATCCGGGCTATTGGAGGGCCACTCCAATAGCTGTAGTATATCTTTATCATTAAACTGTTGAAAAATATTACTGGTATGTTTTGGTGTCATTGTCGTTCTGTAGACGACAATTTCGATGAAATTGTCCTTAAAAAAGAAATAAACAGGAATGATACATTATTTCCTTTTACTACTTATGTCTAACAGCAGGAAGAAGATAGTTTTTAAGTATATGAACATAATATGGACCACTAAGATTGCATCGAAGTGTATGGCAACTCAATACACCTTTCATACTTATGGCACCCCAAGCATGAACTTTTTGACGATTTTTAGGTACAAGTTTTAATGCATTATTAGGATTTTTTGTCCAACGACAAACAGTATTTCGGAAAAGTTGAAATGAAGATTCATCAGTAAATATCGTTTGTATGAAATCATCATCTTTATGATCTTTAGCCCACTGAATACATCGGTTTTTTTGATCAACTGTTAACATATGAGTAGTATGTGGTAAAACATTTCTATAACCATATTCGTGAAGATGACGACTTATTGTTGATGTAGATACTGATTTTCGGTACTTTTTTGATAAATTTTCTTGTATTTCTTTATCAGAAAGGAAAGCAATCACACTTTTATATGCGGAATGTATATTATATCTATCGATGATTCATCGGTAGAAAAATAAACTATCTAATTGCTTCTAACGACTAGGAAAACGTTTAAAAGAAATATTGAAGTTTGTGCAAGTTTTTTTACAGATACCTGTATATTATATTTGCTATGAAAATAAAGTAAAGAAATGTATGTATTGTGAGATTTCAGAAAAAAAGGTTTTTTTCTTTCCGGTTAACAAAAAATAATTCAGATTATCTTTTGCATGGTAGAAGTTGAGAATGAAATCTGCTTGTAATGTAAATCATTAATAAATAGGTGTGACTTTTATACCACATGACTAATTCGAAAATAAAGATATTCAAAACGAAAACAAACAGATGAACGAATGCCGTCATCTATCACTATTTTATTGATTAGTTTCCTTCTCTTTCCTAATCATCGGATATTTTATTTGATATCGATTGATTCATACATTATATATCTTCTCTCACGACTATTTTTTGTTCGTCACTGATTGAGAATAAGATTATTTATTGCAACTGACGATCATTTTTTAACATTATTGTTATTGTTCATCTGATATTGTGCATATAAACAGTTCTCCATATTCACCGTTGCTTTATGTGTTATTGATAATATCATCTTTATCTTTCACAGATATTTTTGATAACCTCATGCATTTTAATATGCATGACGGACTTTTGTACAAGAGTATCATTCGATTCAGTAAATTGTTTCAACTTCACAATATTTCTTATTACGTTGTTGGTGGCTATGCTTTAATCTTTCATGGTGTAATTCGAAACACAATGGACATCGATATCATAGTAGCAGAGGCTAATTTTCAAAAAGCAAAGCAAATAAGTGTAAACATTCATATATTTGATTATGAATATGAATGTGTGACCGGTTGTACGATTATTCAGGTGATTAACAATAATACGAAGTGTATTTCTGAATACTTTAAATATTAATGGACATTGAGTATACGAACATACTTGGTGATAAATTATGTGCGAGATTTGAACATGTATACTTTTTACCAGTTAATCTTTTCGTATCACCTATTTACGGTCCTGATCCATCTAAAAACAATACGATCATATATGAAGAACATATTATTTTTTGCAATGTTCCAAGTAAGTTTTCTAGCATCATAGAATACCATTGACTATACTTATAATTGGTTTGAGTCCTAGTATTAATAAAAATTAAAGCCTACTTCGGACGTCCTTTGAAAAGAGAAGGGGTGTAGGTGTGGGTGTGAGGGATGTGGACATGGGTGTGAGTGCACCTGTTCTAAAAGATATACCCACACACCCACACCCTTTTTATTTACTATCAATTTATGCTTATCACTGATTATATCATAAAAGTTTTTTGCCTTTTTCGATTCTTTAGAACATTTGAAGTACTCTAAATGAATAGGAAACTCAAGAAGATTGGTAAATAAAATGCTTTATTTCTAAATGATTTGTAAATTCTTCAAAATAAATATTTATAAATATTATTATAAATATTGTTTAGCTGAAAAGAATAATTTCAATGTATGCTTCAACATGATGATACTCACTTGTTGGTGAAAGATATTTAGTTAAATGTTACAAAATAACTTCGACAAAATTTTCTGTCGACGTTGAACTTCAGTAAAATTTATTCCGAAGTTAAACTTCGCCACGACATATATATTTGTGAAAGAAGTGGCATGCATGATGGTACATTTGCTTCTTTTTTATTCGATATGAGCAATTGCATTTGGTCAAGATTCATAATTTCATTGCCTCAAATCATTTTGAATCAATTGTTAGCTCTCTACGAAACAGAAAACTAAAGAAAATAAATGTCAACATCATGTTGATATTTTCGCAAGTGTTGAATGCATCTATAATATGACTTTTAGTATTTTAAAAACGAGTATGAAGTCCTGCAGCCAAAAAGCAGGCTCCATATATTTGAATAATGTAATAAAATAACTGATATATCGAATAAAACAGATAAAAATAACTCCTGATTTTGATTTATTTTTTGATTTATTTCTTAATTAAACCGATTAAACTGATTTTTTCGATTAAAACAATTTTTTTGATTTAGAATTGATTGAAAATAAAAAAAATCAGCTATTTTCCCCTTGGGTTATATCAGGGTTGGCAATCGATCGAAGGAAGTATATACTAAGAACATCGGCGGTTAAAAGTTACAGTATAAATAGGATGTTCATGAATCAGATCTATATTATAGAATAGCAACTGACATACTACATACATACAAAACTAAAAATTCTTTTCATTTTAATGAAAATTAAGGAAATTAGTAAAAGAATGAATTGATTTTTTTATCAATTCATTCGAAAGTTTATACAAGGAAATTAAAACAACAAAACTTAATAGTTCTTCAACGTATTGAACATCTAGAAGATGCATCAGTTGAATCAATCTTCTTGATAAACAATACGGAATTGACTTCAACATTTGTTGGATCTGTCGATAATTTTGAGATTGTCACTTACATGTGCATTATAG